AAGCTCCTCTGGGAACTGTTTGCGTAGTCCCGCACCACCGTAACCTCGCTCACCGTCACCTTACCCGCCTCCCGGGTATCTATAACATACGCGACATATCCCGTGCAACCCTACTGAAGGTAACGCCTAGCTCTCGCTGCTGAACATACTATGGGTCCACACTGTGCCCTCTCGCCGTGGACTACCAACTCTCCCGCACTTCGGGTCCTGATTCGCACCAGTTGCTGAGGGTAATCTATCACCGCCCGATTGGGGCTGAGCTAATCCATGCCTATTATCACCTTGTTCCTACGTAATGGAATGGGAACCAAGTCTACCAAGTAGCGCTCCTCAAATAACCTCATAACGCAATCTCTGAACACTGTTGATGTTGCACTAATCGATCATCGGCAATCTCTACCTCTAAAGGGAAATTCAACATGCCCGAAGACTCAGTGAACTTCTTGCTAAGCACAAGAGAAACAAACGATCGGGTGGCACCTGAGTCGAACAACACCTGTACTGGGATACCGTTCACATGGAACAATCCTAAACGCATATACACAGAGAACATATCAACATCATAACATCATATAAATAAAACAGATGGAAAGAATCATACCAGTCACCACATCAGGTGCAGCGCGTGCCTCCTCGGTAGCCAGCTGAAATGTCTGACTCCTTACCACTGGAGCCTCCGCCTTGCCCTGTCGGCCATCAGTAATCCGCAAGGTCGCTGGAGCTAGCGCCTTCCCTGGCACTGTTGCTCTCAACTGGGGGCAATTGGCCTTCTTCTGGCCCCTCTGGTCTCAGTGGAAACACAACAACTCTAATGTTTGTATCATAGGTGCAGGGGCGGTACAATCCCTGCTGAAGTGCCCCATCTTGCTGCACTTATAGCAGCCTGACGATCCCAACCTGCATGCTCCCTCGTGCGTCTTTCTGCATTTCCTGCAGCGGCCTCGCCCCTGTTGGCCTTTCGGCCGTACGTTTGGTCCCTTGGGATTCTTCCCTGAAGCCCCTGTAACCTGCCCCTCCTCTGCTTTCCTCTTCCGGATGTGCTCTAGTTCGATCTCCCTTTGCCTGGCCCTGTCAATCATGGACTCCAGAGTAGGGCAAGCGGAAAAACTGACATGTTCCCGAATATTAGCTCGTAGCATGTCATGATAGCAGGTCCTCCTTATATCCTCATCACCAGCGTACTGGGGCACCAACAATGCCCTCTTCCGGAACTAGACGGTGATCTCCGCCACAGTCTCTGTGGTCTGCCTCATATCCCAAAACTCCATGGCCAGCTGTTGAAGCTCTACAGCTGGCACAAACTCTGCTTGGAACGTGGTCACGAAGTCTGGCCATGTCATAGCCTCAACAACTGAGACTCCCAATGAGTCAACAATAGACTCCCACCAGTCTCTAGCCCTGTCTCTCAAGCATCCTGCTACATACCTCACCTTCGACCCCTCAAGACAGAAACTTGTCAACTGTGCAGACTCGATGTCTTCAATCCATTGTCTGGAAGCAATGGGGTCCTTCGCCCCATGAAAATCGGGCGCACCACTGCTATTGAAGTCCTTAAAGGACAGTGTGTGAGATCCCGACTAGCGAAATGTCAGGTCACTCCTAAACGCCCTGAGGCAGTCCTGCATCAACTCAATATCCCTTCCTTGATTGACTCGAAGATGATGGGGGTCGACTCAAGGATACCTCTGGTGATCTCTGACACTATGAACTCACGTAGCCCCTCATCTACTGGCTCGGTACCTGATCTCGAACCCGATACCTCTCTTGAGCTGCCAACTGCTGTCCTCGGACGTAGTACAACCATTCTGCAATACATAATAACAACCGTGAGTGATACCAATACCTTTTGAGGGATCATATCTACTACAAGTTCCTTGGTCTTATCTCTGTTGGATATAGTGTCTAAGTCCATAACATTATTTGGTATGTACTTGACCCGACCTGGCATGGTCCATTTGGGTTGCATGGCATTGCAATACTTGGATAGACAAAATAAGAGAAAGTACACATGTGATTATTAATATATTATAAGTTCTAATATATTAATAATAGTATTATTTAATTAGTATTGATCAAGTATTAATCTAGTATTAACTTGGTGATCAAAGTGAGACTAATTACATATATATAGGGTTGATTATGACAATCATCAATTCTTTTATGGTGGATTAATGATCCATGGTTTATGGGTTTGGTTATGACCATATGGAGCTCCATGGATAGTCCATGGGAGTTACAAACCCATGGGTCATTAGAAATGAAGAGTCATGACAATTAGGGATTACATTTGTAACTCCTAATTATGACACACTATAAAAGAAACCCTATACATGCAAAATCGGACTAGAGTATTTTTGTGAGGGCATAGCTGATTTTGAAGTGTAAAAGTATTCTCTCTAGTTATTCCAAGTTTTGTGGTGTTGTGTGAAGCATTTGAGGCACAACATTTGGGGTGCTAGGCTCACAAAGTCTTGAAGGAATCCAAGCAACAACAAGGTATGTATTTCTAATAGTTTTATGTTTCATATATTCCCCATGCCATGCTAGTTAGGAAATAACCTTGAAAAAGAAATTTGCATGTATATAGAGAAAACATAGATTCAAGTTTATTAGGTTTGCATGTACACTTTGGAAGTGTTTGAATGCTCAAAATCCATCAGTGGTATCAGAGCCTGGGATTGTTTTCTATATACTTGATGCAAAACTGATTAAAAATTGAAAATTCTGCACTCTGATGACTGGACTCGCCAAGTTAATGGGGATGACTCGCCGAGTCCATGAACAAATTCATCCTACTCGACGAGTAAAATCATGCATTCGACGAGTAGGAGCGTGCTGGGCAGTATTTTCGTGTTTTGTTGCTGGAAATGGGTTAAAATCATTTTCTCAA